GAGTATCAAGAGTTCTGAGATATTCGCGGTTGTAAAGACCAGCTGAGTATTCAGTGTGAGGAACAACATGGTATTCCAGAATTTCTGAAAACGAAATCAAAATAAAAACTGGCCTTTCTTTCAATTTATCATTTCAGCATGCAGAAAAATAACTTCAATTCATACAAACCTTTAAGGAGTTGAGGATTTCTTTGTAAATTATGCAGTACATGGGATCCAAGTTTATTAAAAGCTGCATTGGTTGGCGCAAACACAGTGAGAGCATCACCTGTAAAACAGACACAAATATTTACAATTAAAATCTTACTGGATATTTCTCTCGTTAACCTTTTGACAATCTCCATGGAGATATTTCCTACCTTGTAGAGCACCAGCTAAGCCAGCCGATTTGACCTTTGATAGAAGAGTACTGAGGTCACTGTTGCCAGCCACCAGATCCACTATATTTCCAGTAGGTGGCATCATCACGGTGTCGATTACGTGAACCATCCCGTTGGAGGCTGTTAGATCGAAATGGGTAATTTTGGATCCTTCAACTGTCACAACCTACAATAGAACAAAGTATAAAACAAATATAGAACAAAGAAATGACAAATGATGTACTTCGATATTTGATGATCAGAAATTGTTCTCAAGTCAACTTCGTTCAGTGTGAACTTAAATATTTGGAATGGTTATTTTCTCTATCAACAACAAAAAACCCTCAAAGCGTTATTGCAAGAGACATTCCTATTTATGTATTTTGAATGGCAACAGCTATATTTTGAAGCAGGCCATCAATAGATCTTAGGAGAAAGGAGAAGAACTCACATGGTTATGGCTGTATATGTTGAATCTAATTTTGGTTCCCGCCAGAGTCTCCAACTGAAGCTCATTAGAAGCATCAGCTTTGTGGATGGATCCCTTGACCACGTGATATTTCAAAATGTTGGCCAGAGCTGTGGTGTCCTTTGATAGACTATCAAGTGTAGCCTGTGGAAGCTTGGAGAAAGCAGCATTAGTTGGAGCAAATATGGTATATTCCCCTAAAGAACAAAAATATGCATACTCTTAACTATCTTATAAAGTTATTTGTAGTTATTTGTACTACTAAGCAATTGGCGTCGATCATATCAATGCATTATCGGGCATTTTCAGTACACCTATATAAACATGTAGACCTAAAAAATATCGCAAAGAAAAAAATCAATTTGAAAGAAAAACACTTGTCTTAACCAAAAAAAGTTCACCTTTCGGGACTTTGTTTCCGTTTCCTTTCAGAGGTTTACGAGAAACGATTTTAAAAACTCGTATAGATAAAGCTTTATATTTACCTCCCAAAATTGTATCTGCTAGTCCTGCCTGTTGAACCAGTGAAATAAGCGTTGTTTCTCCATCAGCTTGGAGAACCTCTACAAGGTTGCCACCAAAGACGCTCTGGACTAACACAATAAGGGAAAGGAAGGCAATCATATTGTACTCGTTCTTGTTTTATCAACTTCAACAATAAAACGAAAAGTTTCCCTTCTTTTATACTTATAAATTCATGTCTCATTTTATATAACGTGTCTCTAACCCGTGTTCATTTTCATGTACGTGTAGAAATATCCAAACGTGTTCAAAGGCTCGTGAGGGACTATCGAAAGGTTCTTCTGAGATTTTACCTTATGCATTTATTTATTCGAATTTAAAATTATTTTAAATACGTATTCGATATCAAATGTATGAATTAACACTAAAAAGTCCCACTATGTTATTCTAATGTTGGTTAAAATGAGTTCATTATAATTATATCCCATAGTGAACCTTTGATTATGAAATTCACAGGTAGATAAGCAAAAATGAGCTGACCGAAGGACCAACGTTGACCACGAGAATTCTGAAATTCACGTGTTTCATTGCAAAACAAACTCTATGCTTGTGAAAAATTTTCATTGATCCCAATTTTAAAGTGCCAAAGAAATAATGTGTTTGCTAATAGCTAAGCTAACACGTTCAATTCATAGATTCAAGCATTTCCACCATAAACAGAATACCATGAATTCATATCTCAGAATCACAGTAATGAATAATCATGCATGTATACGTTTTTACAGCAGCCTTTTAACAATTTCCGTCAACTGCTTGCATTCTGTCAACTGCTTGCATTTGAAGCAATCCTTCTCCCTTTTCAACAGATTTAAAAAAAAAACGTGTATATATATATATATATATATATATATATATATATATATATATATATATATATATATATATATATATATATATATATATATATATACAAAAATGAAAAGAAATATCATAGTGTCCGGTAATTAATATGAAAATAAAAAATAACAAGGCAACAATGTTAGTAAAACGTAAGCGCTTTCATTACTCCTTCAGACGTTTTATATTCCAAAACAATTCAAACATGGGACGTTATAACGCTACCTGATGATAACGTCAACAACAATGCAATGACGTCACAATGCTTATAGAGGAAACAATTTTAGAGTCTGAGTAAAATTACGCAATTCATTAATTAGCGTAATAAATAATAAAGTCATGAAACAGACTATATTAAACTATTTAAGGACGGTTTTAAAATCTTGATGAAATGTTTTTCTTTTTCCCGTCTTTCTTAAAGATTTTCTGTTTATAAAAGGTTTATAAGTGAGTTTATAAGTGAGTTTATAAAAGGGATAAACTGACAGTCATCAGGTAGCGTTATAACGTAACATGTTTGAATTGTTTTGGAATGTAAAACGTCTGAAGAAGTAATGAAAGTGCTTACGTTTTACTAACATTGTCGCCTTGTTATTTTTTATTTTCATATATATATATATATATATATATATATATATATATATATATATATATATATATATATATAATGTTTATATGAACAAATTTTTAAAAATCAAGATGACTACAATAAATTTCTCAACATTGGTAAGATGAATATAAATTTCAACGTGTCAGAAAAAATATTCTTTGATATCCAATATATAAAGCATTTGGTTACAATTGTCGTGAAGGGACGGAAAATCTCGCACTTTTGATATTTTTTGATATCACTGTGATAAAACATTACTTTTATTGCATTTATAAATCACAGTATTTCATTGTTGAAAATAATAACGAATCTTTAATTATCATTCAGTATTTCTTTTAATTTGTAACACAGCGGGTAAATGAATTGTGATGCTAGAAAATCCGATATTCTTTTAAGTTTTAATCTACGCTTTTTTAACCTATGATGAAACACGTCAAATCATACCACAGTCCAAATATCTGTAGATTCGAAAAAAATATATATATATCTCTACCACATGTCTGCACGATTTTATTATTTGTTAGGCATTCTGTTGTAGTTCAAGTGTTGCACTAACACCAAATGGAATAATACTCACTTCCACTGAATATTATCTCCTTTATTTCTAATTAAAACAATGTTTGTATACTGAAAGGAAAAAGAAACGCAGGGTAACATAATATGCGAAAATTTTTTGACTGCATGGCCAAAATTTACCAAAAATGGTCAAAGGGGAATCTTGGTAACTGTGCTCTGAAATCGGTGTTCAGACTTACTCAACCGTGAAATGTATGATGTCATGCAGGGAAAATGGTGAAGCCAAAAACACGTGCATATTGATGATGTCAGGTTTGTTAACACATTTTGTTATACAAATTGATGCACTGAAGTTATACTCATTGTTTTTCAATATTTAAAGACAATTTGAAGTTTTCGTAATCATGATGTGGCTGATGGAAGTTCGATGGGGTCTGGCTATTGCATTGCCTAAGTAAGGAAAAAGGAAAGAATAAGTTGCTGTGCAGTTTGTTGTAAATTTTGTCACCATAGAACGTCTTATCCGTCGTCAGAGAGGGAGTGGAAACATTTCCAATCAAGCGTAACAACGCCACGTCAAGATTATTCATCCTGCCATCTGTGTAATCGCCGCTTACGACCACTGAAACCCCTATTAATACAGTAGGCAATCATAATATCGTTACATTCACCCCAAAACTAAAAGAAACTCATTGCGCGATTTTGGTTTGTGAGCTCGTCAACTTTTAGTCAGTGTTCCTCTCACTCGCGCGCGTGTGCGCATTATGCCTAATTTTTCAGGATGTGAATCCACGGCCAAATGTAGCCAGACTTTCTCGCAAACATAACATTAACCCACTCGAATGGTGTCCGTACAATCCATCTTTTTTCGCCAGTCGAACTTTTGTGGGACTAACTAGACGGTAGGGTTTAAAAGCGTCGGAATGCCTAAGCTACTCTCGACCAACGAAGGGCTGCCTTGTCGAAAGGGTTGAATAATATCCCTATGAGAAAGATAAATGCTCTTATGAACTCCATGCGCGAGGGAGGCATAGGAGACAATGAGAATTTTCGATTTTCACTTTTGGGGGGTACGGTCATTTGAGTTTCAATAACTCATGAATTATCGGTCAAAATCAAATGAGATTTTGTTTACTTCTTGGTAAAACATGAGTTTAAATGTAAGATAACAATACTGGAAAATACGTTCAAAATTATAACATTAAATCACTTCAAAAGTTTACCCTGCGTTTCTTTTTCCTTTCCGAATATATCAATATTTTTAAGCCGCTTAACAAGCTACCTGTATCTAGATAAGTTGAACAGTCAAAGAAAACATTTTATTGTTTAAATAAACAGAAAATGCTAGTAGCCACAGTTAGCTGTACGTTAAATCAGAATGCTAATAAAATATTTCAAATTCAACACTCCTTAGTTTCACAAGAATCATTTTCTACCGGATATTTTGTAATGTCACATCAATGAATATACCACAGTGTTAAAAGATAGGTTTATAATTCCGGATTAGTGCATGTAAAATTGCAATCGTATATTTAACCTACTCGTGATACTTAACAATCAGACACAAATCCGGAATTAAGAAGTAAAGCACAATCTATTCGATCCGGGATGTTATTACAAAAATTATATCAATTCTTATGTCACCTCCCTCAGTCAGTACATCCATGTAGCTTGTAAAAACTGAGAGATGATGATGCGAGCAGCAAACATAGCTTATTTATCTTTTTCGTTAATTGTGTTTTGTTTAGTTCTACATGTTATTGTCTTTAGCGTACCGTCATGGGTATATTATAATAATGGAGAGTACAGTACTTACTTTGGACTCTGGATTCTGTGTTCGGGCGTGGTAAGAAGCGAAACTTGTGCCTCCACCATTGGCCACCCTTCTTTTTCTAATCAAGGTATCATTTATAATATTCCATTAGCCTTCTAATGTTAAATTTGTCGTGGTTTTGGTGCAGTTTGAGGATTGCGAATCGTTGAAAGTTTTGAAACTCTTCATTTCTTATCATGAGACAAACACCTTTTTTCCAATGAAAAAAAAAAACAAAAAAACATAATGATTAAAAAAAAAAGAATATGAACGACACTTTAACATCATTTTTTTTTACTTTGGTCTGTAAATGATGTTAATATATGGGGAAATGCGAATGACGTACGTACAGCGATCAATGTTTACAGATGAAATTTGACAATAACAATGATTTTGATGATGAAAATAACTTATGTTCTTGATTATGTATTCTCTATTATTATTATTTTAAAGGATTATTAATATTTTCTTATCTTAGGGTGGTTTCAGGCAGTGCAAGTGCTGGAATGTCTTGGTTTAGTGGCGATTGTAGCTGCTACCGCCTGCAGTTTTGTCTCGATATTTTTGTCAAAGGCTGAACGTATTTTGAACTATGCCACTTTCATTTTGATGAATACAGCAGGTATTTTTTTTTTTAAAGAATTGTTTTCATAAATGTTTGTTTTGGTACCTTTTATTTACATTTATTACAAAGACAAATTCTGTGCAATACATATTTTTTAAAGTTCTAAGAGCCAACCCTTACCAAGTGAATTCATGAGAGACACTCCATTAAACAGCATACTTAATGTATAATTTAAAGTCAGCTGTAACTTAATACATATTGTTATAGTACGTAAAATCAAGAAATTCAGTATTGAAAAAAGTACTAAAAGAATCAGTCACAATGCGAATCAAACTGATTTCGGAGCGACGAACATAATTAACGGACATTGCATATTCATATATAAAATCTATGATGTAATTAAAACGAATTTAGGGAATGAAAATAATTATTTAAAGCAAGAAATCGAAGCCTCGTCCTATCTATTGAGAACTGTTTCTGTAAAAACAGTGTATGAGTTACATATACGCCTAATAATACGGAAAAGAAATCTATCATTGTGACTGCAACAGCTCTCCTAAAAATATGGAGTGTAAGGGTGATGAAAATCATACCAATATTACTTTCATAATATTTATTCTCTTTTTCTTTTCAGCTGTGTTCATCTTGATCGGCTCTATAATATTTGGCGCCCGGGTGAATTCGATCCCCTCTACCGTGATGCTAGCTAACTATCTCTTCGTTCCATACGGTTTCAACATAGTGTGCGGAGCTCTGTGTTCTGTTGCAGGTGTGTGCATGCTGGTTTACAAATTAGGACATAGCTCCTGAGTTCTGATTACAATTCAACTTTTTTTGGACTGTTTTTGAACATTTCTGTTTGAAGTGTGACATTCTTACTACATGTTTTTATCAGGATAGTTAACAGTGACATAATTACATGATCTCAAATAGTTGGTTTTGAACATATTTTATTGCAATAAATATATACAGTGGGATTGGGCACAAGTTCTAAAAACTTAATTCGCCCTCTCCCTACATGTTATATCACAAAAAATTCAATCAGACGTGTCCAACAGCATGTACAAAGTAAATTAACTCACAACATAGAAACATATACTGCTAAATTATTATCTATACACATTTTTAGAAAAATCAATTAAATCTGCCTGAATGCTGAATATAAGATTGAACAATAGAGAAGAGATATTCATTTTCAGCAATACTGAGTGAGGTATCCCCCCAGAGTAAAGTATGAGTGTCAACAATATGAACTTTATTAAATCTCAAAAACTTATCGAAGAAATCTTTCCTGGCCTCAGTGTAATTAGGACATGAGAAAAAATAATGATGTGTGTCTTCTACCTTACCACAAGAGCATAATGGACTAGATATTATGTTACACCTATAAAGATCAATGTTTAGCACACAATTGTGTCGGAGTCTAGTGTGCAGTATATTGTAGCGTCTTTTTCCAAAACTGAAATAAGGCGGGGCTATTGTTATTTTTTGTGTGATTTTACTTTTAAAAGCAGATAAGGAGCTCGAAAGTCTGGTGCCTAGCGATAAAGAATTCCACTCGTTTACTACAGTTGGTACAAATGATGATTTGTATGTTTGCAGTCTACAGACGGGTATATTATAATTTTGAGAGTTTCTTGTTGTATACGCGGAAGCATTACATCGCATTTCAGGTATAATTTCACGTAGATAATCAGGAACTAAATTATTATGAATTTTATACATGGTATTCAATCTCTGAATCTTGCGTCTATCAATGAGCGGTTCCCAGCCTGTTTCAAAGTACAAAGAGTCTCTAGATGCAATTAAGGTCAAATAGTTGGTACATTGACAACTTGACATTTTCATGGTAATTTTGAGACATCTTCTTTGTGATCTGCAGGGCGAACGTAGACCATATACATGTAGTGGACTTTTTATTCGAACCACTTTTTTTATCGAAGCATAATAACTGATTCTAATAGCAGTGAACGGGAAATTTTTATGAACATCATTTATCTTCGTAAATCGGGTGTAACCCTTGAAAATACCATTGAGTTTGAGATGTACTTCATAAAAAGCAGCTAAAATTTAAGTTATTTTTGTGTCGAATTTATGTATGTTTTGTTTAATGGAATAAGAAAATCAATTAGTGCCATGTCATAGACAATGGAACAATTTAACTCTAAAATCCTTCAAATGCGTCCGATTTTTTTTTTATATTTACATTAATCAAATAATAACTTTTCTTTAGGATATATTGGTTTCAACAATGCTGAAATAATATGAGACGTGTGATCCTTTAGGAAATTTTTTCTGCAAAAATTGCAACTGTTATACACTGTGTAACACAATAAAAATAACATTTTTACATTTCTATCTTTCGTTAACTCATACCAGGGACGTACATGTATATACTGACTAGACAGACAACTATCGCAAGTCTCGAGAAATCTCGTAAGTTGTGTGTCAATTTTAAATATATCTCTAATCCTATCAAATATTTCAGAACAAAACCTTTATTTATCCAGAAAACAAGCTTTTGACTGGGAATAAACGTAGTTTGAAAAGTTTGTAGTGTTGTGTGTGACATTTTGGGCAAATTAACACTGTGCAGGAGTTGCCTATCCCGTTAGTACAGTGTATGTACATTCTGTATGTCCTTAATTAATTATATAAGGTGAGAGTGCCAAAATTATTGCATTAAAGATCCGAACGTCAATTGAAATAAATAAAAGAGCAATAGTGAAACGTTTTATTTTTAACACTTCTTCCATAATTTTGAATTAAGATGGCTTTGAAAACGTATTCAACAAGTTTAAAAGTAAATTAAACGTAAATAGAACGCGCTGCTTCTGGTAACAGCGTACGGTTTTCATATTAAGAAAAAAGAGTCGCAACTTCCCGGACCTTTCCGACAAGCGGAAAAACAACCTCGAATGCGTTACGCAGGTGTCCATGATGACAACCCCTCTTTTCATAAACATTGAAATAAGTGTAGGGAAACCTATTATCTGTTAAGTCTGGGGTTTCACTTCATTGAATGTAAAGATATTACGTAAATATAGTACAGAATGGACAATACATCTGTCCATCAAATGCTTTTAAATTAATGAATAGGAATCTCCTCCATTTTGCATTAAATTTTAACACCCGGTGATGTAAATTTTTTGAGCTTGACGGAAAAGATACGGTTTTAGAAATAAAGGATAAATTTTCACTAGATGTAGATATCTACATTTTGACATTATTAGCGGATCTCTAATTAAAGGACTCTACAGTGCTTGAATATAAGTGCATCCTGTGTCAGCGTTTACTGTGGCTAAGAAGATTTTACATAAATCTTTGTTTCTATGAATGAAAGATATGTTCACACTTTTGTATTTCATTCCTCCTCAAGGATTTTATCACAGAATTGTGAAAGAATTATGTAGAAGGGTTGACATTTCTGTGCTGGACAGGGTTCGACACTAACGTTAGTCCGTTAGTCTGAGACCAATACATTTTCATTCGAACTAATAAAATATGTGGCTAATTAGTCCGAACGGACCAATAAAAAATTTCTGAAAAACAATATGAATAAATTACCGATGTCCAATTCTCGTCAGTTGACAACTTTTACTGGAAAACCCCGCGTGTATTTTTAGATTTCTAGCTTTTGGCGGGTAGTTACGCAATGCCGGGTCAATTAAGCGCTTAATTTTTGGACTGATTGATATGAAGTATAAGGTTTTAGCGATCATGATTTAGTATGACACTTTTAAGAAAGATGTTGGACGTTTTGGATGTAATGTAAAGACAAAAAAAAAAAAACGAGATCGGGAATACGATCGTACTTGCCGATTGCGAGATTTCAATGAATCTGTGGAATAATATATTTCACGTAAATACTTTGTTTATTTCAAAAAATAATATGTATATTAATTGTCCCGTTCAATTAATGTTAAAAACATTGATGTTTCTTTTTTTTTGACGGACTAATAAAATCGCGTGCGGACTAGTAAAAGTAATGAAGCACTAGTCCGGCTGGACTAAAGCCTTAAAAAGTTAGTGTCGAACCCTGCTGGAATACATACATTGTGAGTTTAGACCTTCATGTGCATGTACGATGTTATAATCCAGACCTGCGTTTGCATGAGTCCTTTTGTGTTTAAAAAACGTAACTCAGCTACTTTTTCACTGTCAGATCATATATCAAAAACTTCTTTTTCAGTATGGGTGAAACCTAAGTATCCTGAAACTTTATCCTCTTATCTGCAGCCCAGGTCTTTACACAATATTTAATATTTAACGAATAAATTTTTAAGTTCTATGAATATTTAATTGCAATTTTGCCATTGAAGTTGAACTAATTTAAAATATAAGTAGGTCACAAGGTTGTGGATTTGCCTAATGATATCAAATCGCAAATCTAATGTCAGTTTAACCCAACATCTCTCTGTCCACCAAAGTCGCATAAAACTAGTAGTAATATAATCAGCATCAAATAGCTTCTGTGTTTAACAAACGCATATTGTTGGTGTTCAATGATTGTGATTTGAAACAAGTGCTTTATATTAAAAGGAAAAATCACCGTTATAAGATAAAAGAAAGAACAACTAAACAGCATTAACTTGTAAAATTCTATATTTCTTGTCGACAACGATATACAATATATAATGCAAAATTCTTTTGTTGATAATTATATACACTAAAGCATGATTATGAAAATGCTACGTTTCATGATTACATGTCCTGTTTATGTACATTATATGTTATGCCGTGATATGACCATAAGAATAATATTTTTATATAATGTGCATCTAGCCTACAACAAGACTTAAATAATACCGATCAGGCACTAACACGTGATCTATGACGTGGATCGCTCCATTGGTTGCTGAAATGTCAACTTCCGTTACACGTGAGTAGAGGTTTAAATATACTTTGTCGCCTACAATGTAAACAACACACATTTTCAGAAATATCTAATGATACGATTAAAACATGCATCCAAATAAACATAAAGGTTTTTAGATGTAAATTGAAGTAAGGCAGTTTCTGTAGAAGTTTGTTTCCTGTATGCTGACTGCATTGTGCCAAAAGGACAATTACTTTAGATATACATGACTAATTGTATGCAGCCACCATTGGAGTGGTGGTAAACACGTTTCTCTCCCCCATTCGTCATCCTTACAGAATTTACCTCTCCTCCCCCTTCTTTCACACCTCTTCTCTTTCTCTCACACTGTGCCTACCCTGTCTGCATCAACTTTTAAAATTTAAAAAAAAATACTCACTTGAAAAGGTAACTTGTATGGTGTCTCCATTGGTATCAAGTGATCGTAACCTCTCTTTATTAAACAACCCAGCAGAATATACCGTATGTGGAACCACGTGATATAAAAGCACCTCTGAAAAATAAATACCGGTATTTTACCTTGTTTACCCGAATGAGTTCTTATTGGTAAGATAAACGCTTATATCAATGATAAAAAATATACCTCTGAGCATAGTAGGATCATTTTCCAATTTTTGTAAAGCTGGTGCCCCGAGTCTGGCAAAAGCAGCATTTGTAGGAGCAAAAACCGTCAAATTATTTCCTACAAGAAAACAAAAATTGAGGTCAGGTCTGACTGTCCATGGGGAATACAAGTAAAAAACTTAAGATTTAATGGTATTCAAAATTGGGTTGTAGAAATTAGAACATTAAAAGCTAAAGTTGCAGCAAAATTACATGTGCAGTACACAAAGATGCTTAAAATTCCTTGTCCTGATAGTTTTTATTTCCCCAATCTTAAGTTTCTTAATAAAGTCTTAACTTAGTATTTACCTTTAAGAGCAGCAGCAAG